GTATGTGAGTCACCTTTTCCTACTCTGTTGATCACGGCATGAGTGAGTGTTTAGCGTCATCTTAAAAATGTTGGCTTTTAACTGGAAGTGCACTTAAGTAGCCTAACCATCATAACATTGATTAGACAAAATATACTAAAAAACAAATGTATATAGTTTCCTCTTTTTTTGTCTGAAACAGCTTCAGTTAATGTGAGTGGTGCTGTTTGCCTGCTTGGACATGGTGTGTTATGCTACTCATACTTAGAATCATGGTAATATGTTTGTTTATCCAAAATAAACCAGAGTGAGCAATTGGTTAGTCAGTCCCTCCATGATCATGTCAAGGCTTTAGTATATTTGCAAAATCTGCCACAAAGTGTTAAGTAGTCATCTGTTATCTTTTTTTTGTTACAGCAGTTTAGGTCTAAAGCAGAAATTAGCAAACGTATGCCTGCGCAAAAGACTGTGGTGCCGAGATTAATTTTTGAATCAATTCAGGTTTCGCCCTGCTCTAAACTCAGTTGTGTGTGTGGGTGTGTGCTAATTCCCTCAGATCACACTGCAGCCAATCAGGAAGTACAGGGGATACTCTGAACTGGGGCAGATGCACATAAAAACTCATCGTTAAAAATGCATCGCTTATTGTAGCCTACTGAAGGTGTGTGTATCGTTACTTTATTGTACCTTGGCAGAGGCAGGAAGACGCAGAGGGGCATATAACAAAGTGGCTGTGTTTGACTAGGGAACTCAAAGGCTCTTATTTTATGCACAGAAAACTCCCAAACAAAAATACAGGTTCTCTTCATACTACGACGCAACCACATACTTACAGTTGGCTCTAAAATATGAATACATCTATGGGTTGCACTTAAATTGTAAGTAGGTATTCATGTTTCCCAAAGTATAAAGCCCACCCAATCTGATTATTCCCTCATTTTCCTCAAGCGCCACTAGCAAGTTGATATGCGTGTTTTTTAAGTTTTGCTGGTTTTTGATGACCTTGCAGGATGAATCATTAAAACTTTGGATATCCCATTAACTTCCATCTAGCCCCATCTACAGGTCGAAAATGAATTTGTCTTTGACCAAACACCTGCAAAACTGACTTCCACATCAGCCTCTATTGTAGGATACTTTGTGTTTAGTGCGAGTTAGAACATGTTAGCATGTTAACACAAACATGGTAAACATTACCCCTGAAAAACATCAGCTAAGTGTTGTGGTACCACTTTACAATAAGACTACCCTTATAAAGGATTCATAAAGGGTTCATAATTAGGTTATGAATTAGGCTGTAAACACTTTATTAATCATTAAGAACCATTTAAAAACCAGTTCTAACATAGTTTGAATACATCAACACAGGCTCACTATTTGGCAAGATGACTAAGCCTTATATTGACTACTTAGCGAGAATCAACTCAGTGAGCAACAGATACCAAGGATGCTGGTTGATGAAGTTTGTAAAGTGGTACCGTTATTGTTTGCCATTTTGAGATATACTAGTTTGTCTGATAAGTGATGGTGATATCTGAGCACGGCACAAGGCCATGTTTATATTTGCATGCTATGTCAAAGCCAAGGGGTAAAGTTCAAGGAATCGGAAAAATCAAATCAAATGCTTTCATAAATCCAGTTTTCCGTTACTATTTCTTCCTAATTTCCTCTCCCATTTGTGTTATAAAATGTACAAGCTCGGAAAATGTCCATGTAAAGAAGTTTGGCACATCTGTGGGTCTTTAAAGTGAAATGGACATTCTGTCTTTAATGGCTTTCATTCACCACTTAAAGTTAATATTTAACCTAAATCACCCTAAGTGCAGATATTAGGCCTAAAATGATGCATCATGGTTTAAAGCACCACTTTGAAATATGGAGTATGTTTGCTCATACATATGACTTTAGCCTTTACAATTTCAACTAACACTAGAACATTTGTCAACAAATAAATACTATAATAAGACTATAAAGACATTATTTTTTTTATTAAAATTATTATTATGGCTTTTTGCAAACTTGAAAAAAACATGCTTATTTTTAACCTTCAAATGTGTTAAAAATCCATCATTAATTTCTTAATTGATGTATGTCTAAGAAAAAAGGCATTTCTATAATTTTATTTGTATATTTGTTAGTGTGCCAGATTAAGACAGTCTGAATGTGTACTGCTATAAACACTGTATCTTTCTACACATATACAATTACATTTAAAGATACAGTACGCAAGTTCAGGTCAGGTTGCTTAGATTGCATATTCTAACATTCAGTTTGAATAAATAATTAACTTCAGATGGGTCTGTTAATGAGTTACAATCCATTATAATTATAGATGTGAGGTTACTAGGTTAAACTTTGACCAAATGTAGACTGACCAAGTTTTGGAAAAGCCATCATCAACTTCTGGAAACAAGTAAAGACGCATTGAGATCATTTTTTTAATAATTTCAGCACACCCGGATCAAGACCACCAGACTCAGGACAGTATTTCATTTGACTTTTGACATGGACACAGTTGACTTATTCCTGCGTTTACGTGTACCCTTGTGTGACTTGCAGTATTTTATGTCTTTTCTTTTTATGTCTTAAGTTTATTGTATGTCGCATTCTTGGAGGAACCTTTGAACAAACTGAGTTTACAGAAAATGATCCTCATCCCAGCCTGCCTCCTCCGTGGCTCTGACACAGGTAAGGGAACCTCCAGACTTTGCCAAGTCCCACGCAGAAGCCCACACAGGTGAGCAGGTACTGGGCTTTGTTGTCCCATTTGGGCCTGTCCCCTGCCTCCTCCTTCTCCATCCTCTCCAGGTCCGCATGAGACGGGATTCGGTCATCAAGACCAGGATTTGGGAGAACCAGCCTCATGGTGTTTGTCGAATTAATCCAAAATGCCTGACAGCCTTCAAAGCTGAGTGATTCTCAGTACTACTGACTAACTAAGAACACAGAAGTTTCGTGGGACTTGCAGAATCTGTTCATCTCATCTACCATCTGTGGAGCATGGGTTTTAACATCATAAAATATTCCATCCTATCAGAGGAGAATGAGGTGGTCATTTTGACACAAACACATCTAGGGGGAGTTTGCATCCTTTAATGCAATTGTGGAAACTGCAAGGACCATTACCTCACACCACAACACATGTTGCTCTCATCTTCAACTGGATTACCACCCTTTCTTTAAATTAACTGCATGGCCATTCTGAACTGTACTGCAGAACGTTACAGAGAAACAGATAAGAAATTATACTGCTGGAAGTTCGGGGGGTCAGGTTGCCTCTGAACTTTGTTCTTTATTTTACAACTGGCCAATAACTTTCAGTTAGATGCGCATTATTATGATAGGAAGCTGATTGTCTCTGTACGATTGTTAAAAAACTAGATTTCCTGCACTCCAGTGGTAGCACAGGGGTAATGTCCTCTGATTCCCCACTTAGAGATTTAATGACATGTTACAGGATGTTTGCAACCTACCATCCATCCAACAAGCCCCTTAAACGCATGGCTTCCTCCTGTTAAATGCATTTACTTCATGACACCGCTTGTTGTAACTGCTTTCTGTTAGCGTTTTATTTCTTCTAGTCCGTTTCATCACATCCTATGTTTTCATTTAAGTGTGTATGTTTGTTTGTAAGCTTGTTCGAAATGTTTGAATTTCAAAGTGTATTTAAAAGGGACTTATTTTATGCATTACATTTATTCAGCTTCATCTTTTAGTGTATTTAATTTTTTTCCATGCGTGTGTTTAATTTCCTATATTACTTTCCTTTTATTCTAAATTTCTATCCCTCTTTAGATGTCCCTATAAATGTATCATTAATGATATTGTTATTGATATTATTTATTTATGTTTAATTATTATTCGTATTATTATTATTATTTTAGAAACTACTTTTTTTATACAATAAATGAGAGATACTGTTGCACATCAGTACACAAGCTACCTCCTATTCACTATCAACAATACTGTATATTTTATTTGATTATTTCAAGTACTTTGCAATAGTATACTGCACGTATTTTTTTTATCCAGATTTCATGTAAATACTTTCTTGTATAATAGTTTCACTCGTTTTTATTTAATTTTTTTTTTTTTTTTCTTAAATGTTATCTTCTTTATCTATGCTTATGTAGCACCATTTACACCAGTACGAATTCCTCGTATGTGTCAACCTACAGTATAAATAAATAAACCAGTAAACCAGTTTCTGATTCCGATTACTGTATAACTTGCATTTACGCCTCTTGGCCACTAGAGTTCGGCATTTGTCAAGACTGCAGTTTAACCTATGAGTTTAACATGCACCAAAAAGGAACATATTTATTTATCCCTGTATTCATCTGATCTGGACTTGTAGTGTTGGACTCTGTTGTGAGCGTACACCAAACCAAACACATCTACTTTATTTGTTAATTTATTAAATTTTAAGCTTAAGATTTTCCCTTTTCTTTAATCTAATGTTGCACTAACACAGCAGTAGGTCCTTATTGTCCCTTAATTTGTTAAATGATTTATAAATATATTCATTTTTTGAAAGGATTAGTGCAGTTCATTTTCATATAGGAAGCCACTGCTAAGCCGGAGACAGTGATCTGAAGGGAGGGGGGAAGTGAGGCAGAGAGGAAAATAGATATGGGTTGTGGGGGGGAGGAGGGGGGTGGATTTAGTGTGACTCAGACAGACAGCAGACCGGCTGTCCCAGGCTGCGCTGATCCTTCACTCTCCGGCCGGCTGCAGTCCGCCTGCTGCCTCACTCTATCACCGGACACCTGCCTCTCCGAGAGTAACAGAGAAACATCCCAGCAAAGCAAGAGGAGCAAAGCGAGACAGCCAGGACACACAACCGGTTTCTAGTGCCACTTTTTCGGCTTCCAGCACCCCCCCTCCCTCCCCTCTCCTCCTCCCTCAGGAGCGCGCTTGGAGACCCGGGTTTGTTGTCGTTACCGGGAGAGGAGCGCTCAGCGACCCTAGCCTCACACCGCGCTGCCTCCCCTCAGAGGAGATACTTGCATGGATGCACCATGGCCACGTTTGTCTGCAGGGTTCAGTTTCTAGATGACACCGATCCGTTCAACAGCACCAACTTCCCAGAACCGACGAGACCGCCGCTGTACACCTTCAGTGAGGACATCCCGCTCATCAACCAGCTAGCAGGCATCCACCGGCTCCTCAGGGCTCCACACAAGGTAGGGTTACCATCAAATCATCTGAAACGTAATGTATGTTGCCGAATTAATCCCATAGTAGGATGCTGTTGTTATAAAGCCAAAAAAACACTGGAAACAACCAAAATAGCACAACATTCATATTCATTATTATTACATTGTTTTCCTCTTTATATTCTAACATAGGCCTACAGGTTCAAATCAGGGCTGCATGAGGTTGTTTTGAATGCTGTTTTTACTTTAAGCCTTCTTCAAATAAACTTCAATACCCTCCATTCAGAGGCTATTTTGAGAACACAAGCAAGCACAAGTGATTGGCTCTCCAGCCTGAGGACTCGAACAGGGTTGCAAAAGTTTTCCTTGAAGCCCACAGCAACATTACACATGGGTTTAGTTTGTTTTGGACTCGATATTCAGATTGATTCCAGTGTTGGCAAAGACTGACAATCCACCAGCCCTAAACAGACTCCTAATTTAATAATAAGGATGCATTCTTGTCTTAAAATACATCTTTCTTTGTTCTGAATATTTGCAGTGTCACAGAGACAGGTGTGTAATGGCATCAGTGAAACCAGATCCATGTGACAGTCAGTGAAAGCTGTTTCCCAGCCAAAAGCATGAATCACAGAGGATCAGATTTAGTGGCGAGTCAGATTATAATTGTATTATAGTACCCTGATAGAAAGTGTCTGAATTTCAGTAATAAAAGCAACAATGAACAACAACACACATTCCTTACTTATGAGACTAGGTCACAGAAACACACAGAGAGGTAAAGCAGATGCTGAGCTTTTTTTTATTCTTCATTTGCCATAAAATTCAAGCTGAAAACATTGAATTAAAAATAAAAGTGAGACACCAATAGAAAAAAGAGAGGTCCTCTTCTGGCTCACAACCCTGACAGCAAACCAGCGTTCGACAGCAGAGTGGTTTTCCAGACCAAATAGATATTTTGCTGCCCCATCTTTAAAAGCCACGAAACAAATGAAAAATGGCCCACAGCACAGAAAAGCTTATGATTACAACCTCCACACAGACAGATGGCACAGCCCGCATTCGTGTTTGCTATTTGGTTCACATCAGAAGGAGGACTGTGCGCAATGGCAACTGGATATTGTGCTCAGATTATAGGGATGAAACTGAACGGTTGCAAATCTGCCCGTCAAACTGTCCGCATTTAAACCTTGGTGTTACAATATTATTGGAAAATGTCAAAGCTTGCAAAAGGGACAATTTCCTTTTGGTCTTTCTTTGTTAAAGCAGATTTGGTCTTAACTTTCTGTGCTCTTCTCTGAGAAAAGCCTACTGTATGATTATGTTGAGATGGTGGAGCTCTGCATTTAAAGTATAGGTCACTTGTCCCAGAATTCCTGCGGCCATGGCCTGGATCCCTGCGACACTTTGTTCTCCTCACTTTGGCTGCTGTGGTTTTCCTGACCTCTTCCTCCAGCTCCTCTTCCACCTCCCTGACCATCCGCCCGTTTGTAGACTCAAATACAAACACACACACGGTTAGGCTAACGTGCCAGGGCTAAATCAGTCACTTCATGATGATTCACAATCATCACTTTCCTGTTAAACCTAAATTTATAATATGAGGCCAAACAAAGTTCATCGAATTTGAACTTTCGAATGTTAAAGATGATATCAAGTAAAGATTTTTGAGTTAAATTTAGCCTCAACATCAGCAGTAAAAAAACTCCCATTTCCCTCAAAAACAACAAAGCACACTTAACAGCTCAGCTAGTATTTCATTAGCCTACCTAAGGGTTCCCATTAAAGCAAAACTGGGAGATTTAATAGCTGTGTAGCACCCACCCTCCTGCACGCTCTTCAAACGGCCGTATCATCTATTGCTCTGATTCTGACACAAAAACAGTTCCTAAAAACTTGTTGGAGTTACGTAAGGTTATTGTTAAGTGTTGACCCAGCGTGATCGCCAGCAGGCTCAGTGTTGTTTCAACGTGATAGTAATTACTCCCCTACCCCCACTTTGTTCTCTTTGCCTCGCTCTTTGGGGAGAATTTGATTAAATGAGTGTAAAGTATACTAGCCACTAAGTGTTCCCTTGGCCCAGCCCAGAGTGTGAAGAGCTTGCGGTTCCTTCTGGAGCCACCTCTCAGCCGGCTCCGTCCAGCATGATGTGTTTTGTTTTGATATTACTGCTATTACCCACGCAAAGTGTTTTAGGAACGAGACACCCTTTGGAAGGGGAGCTGTTAACATATTGGGTTTCTGAGTGGTCTCACTTCTCGCTGTCCAAGCAGTATTTCTACGATTGAGTAACGTGTCTAGATAAAGCTGAGCAGCAAAAAAAAAGCAGGGACAAGGTGTTGACACGTGTAAGACACAAATGGGGGATTTTCAGAGAAGGCCTCATTTAGGGATCATACAGACTCTTAATTATTAGTGGATAGAAAATGCTGAATAATGCTAGATGATTGAGCACAAGAAATGCTTTTGTCTTGTGCTGCATACAAAGCAGGGCAGTAGGCCAGGGCATGATTAACTCTCCTACTTTTTTTACCCAGTCTATCCCCCCTCCCCTATTGACACGAAATGTCTGAATAACAATGGAATTGCACTAGGGTTCAATAGGTGGTGATACGGGCGTTAGACTTTACATTTGAACCCTAAAACATGTTAAAGTGGTGCTAGAAGGCAAGATTTTAATGATGGCAAAGTTGGCTTGATAAATAATGACGGTGAGGTTGCAGATTGTACCAACTGAATACCTCTTTGCCCACCCCCTCCCTTTCTAAGCCTGCAGAGAATATACGGGTCATAAGGTAATATAAAACATTTAATAAAATATTACATTTCTTCCAATAGATACTCCAAATTCTACACACTGCTTCTTTTAATTTTAATTTGCCATCATTAAAACGAAACGTAATCCTATCAGTCCGGGATGTACTTTGTATTCAATGCTAACGAGCACATGTTAGCATGCATACAGACAAAAGTAAGATAACAAACTTGTCAAATGTTAAACATATCAACCTATTGTCAATTTGATCATCTTGTCATTAGCTTTTTAGTAAAGGTAAAAGTCCACTCAAGGTCCAGTTATCTTTTTTACTTATCTGTCAGCCTCATTTCACAAGCATCTTCCTGATTTATAACTATCAACACAATGTCACAGTGGTCTATCTTGGAAAACATGACCATGACAGTCTTTTTTATTTGTCTGAATGACTGAATTTGGATCAGGGAGCTGCACTTTTGCTTTGCGGATTATCTTTTTGGCACACATGGATTAATGTTGTTTTGAGGGGAAACTGGAGCAGAACCCAGAGTCACCTCTTTTAATTATGCCACATATTTCCTTGCTCTGAGCTTGGGATTACTTAAAGAAATTATTATCTCCTTTGCAACACTTTGGCATTGGCAGTGACCGTCACCCCCCTTTCAAACTCCCAGCCTTTGCGGACGCACCCACCCTTGAGCTCTTGTGCGCATGCTGCCTCAGTGCAGAGTAAATATAGCAAGGTTATATTTATGCTGTGAGTCCATCCGACAGTCCGTCTCACTGTTTCCCAGTGAGAAGGAGGGACAGACGGAGGGCAGCAGCAGGTCTTATGATCTGTGGTCGCTGCTGGTCAGGGAGTGTCGTCATGCAGCTCGCCCCAGACAGCCATGGGGCGTTTGGCAGCACACCAGAGGCTAGGTTAATCCTACCCATAATATAAAGGTGCTAAATGCTAACTCAAATCCTGACAGTGATCTCATTCACCTATTCATATATCAGCAGCTTTGACAATAAGTCGCAAAGCTCTTTGTAACAATAAAGAAGTGATGCATGTTACTTTTCATGAGTTGTAGCTTGAATGGCTGCTTGCACCTGCTATCAACATGTGACCATACCCATAAACATCAATGCCAGTGGTGTGCAGATATATTACTGTGCACCTGGCCTCAAACTCAGCATGGTTTCTCATTACACAGCATAGCGGCTTGATTCTGATGAAGGCTATTCTGCATTGCTTTCTTAGATCATGCATTTGCAGATGGCAAGATTGGTCAGTTTTAGAGCACTTACTAAAAAGAATTTGCCAAGTGCATGAATGTAGGCATGTCAATAAAGTAAGTAGGAATGACTAAAGAGAACTATATGTTCTGGAGCTTCAAGCTCATTATTTAAGTGTTATTTTATCGGCTGGTATTGAAACGCACGTAAACCTTTCTTTATTTCAGTGTTTCCCTCTGGTTTTGGTTTCATGTTTTGCTGCCTTTATTGCTTTGTTTCTACTACTGTACTTAATTCCTTTTACAGCTTTGTAATGCTGAAAGCAGAGCCGCACCACATTGGCTCGCCCACTTCTCATGGGCCACTGTACACACTTTTTTTGAAATCCATACCCCGTAAAGTTGCTTTATTTTACAGGCTCAAGTTGTTTCAAAAAAGGGTGTGAAACACATGCAGAGACATACTGTAGTGAAGGACTATTAAAAATAGTGAGCCCTGAGACCTTTTTCATTCCTGTGGGTGGTTCATGTACGCACATCACAGCATGGCCAGGGAAATTTCACATGCCATCATGTACTATATGTCAGAGCGCTCAATCATATTTTCCATTGCTATTTTAGGTATGAAAGCCAATTTTTAAGTTGGCCCTCAGTTTTGTTTGATGAAATCCAATACCCTGTATCAAGTCTATACTGTATCTGTCATCAGGACTTGTATTCCAAATATATTTTCATTTTTTTCCATAGCTTGATGACTGCACGCTACAGCTCTCCCACAATGGCACCTATCTGGATCTGGAGTCATCTCTGGCTGAGCAAAAGGACGAGCTGGAAGGCTTTCATCAGGACGACACAGGGTGAGACTGATTCACAGTTTGAAACTCAACATCACTCTTCACTGTTCAAAACATTTGAGATAAAGTAATGACCCCCCGCCCCCTAGCCTTTACTCTCCCCCACACAAACACACATGTCTCTTCTTAGTTTCTAAATTTGTATAAAATGGAAGGAATCACAACTGCTGGATATGAATTTCTTGGAACCACAAGTTCATGGAAAGTATGAAACACTGTGGAAAGCAGGACAGATGTGCCCTCTCTTTCACAGCTACGGCTCTCTCTCTGTGTTTTTGTTTTACAATAACTCATAATTTATCGACGTTGTGACAAAATATCACAAACCTGTCAACTGTAGAACAACTTGACCACTTGGTAACAGTGGGTCTCATATATTAGTCTCTTGCTGGATTTTTACCAGCAGAAGTTCTGGAGTCTCTCTTTCGGTCAACAAGATAAATGGAAAATAGAGATCTGCTACTAGGGCTCATAATTTCCACCTCAAAAAGTGTTGGTAGTGAGCAATCTAGATGGTGACACACATTGTATTGTGATCAATAGGTTTGGTAGAGATTGTGACCCAAATAATATGGCAGCCAAACTTAAATGTGACCTTTTCTGTGTGAAAGGTGTCTTTGTAGTCATCAACATCTTTTCAGGGTTTGTCATTTATTTCCATGTTATGCTAATTCGTTCTTCTACTTCAATACATTGCATAAGTAATATTTTAGGCTACTTTTTTATTCTACTATAGGCCTACTTATTAAGTTTTAGTTACTAAATCCTTTGAAAACTTAAATTATTAATACACATTTAAAAGTCAGATTCAACATTGTTTTGTGCTCTATGGATGTATTGATACTTGTATTCGTTTCGACAGGGCTTTTAACTCTGACATAGTATTTCTAGAATGTTTTATTATTGCATCTTTACTAATGTAGATTATCTTCCTCTACCACAGCTTGCTGTCTTTATTATCAAATGTCAGTGAATAAGGGCAAACTGACCGTGGATCTGCTATTATGGAGAATGATCCAATCAGATTAGATTTGGGCATCTTTTTGCGCACATTGTCAACGCAGACGTGAAGGCTGTTTGATACCTCATCAATTTGTATTAATGTTCAAAAAGGGAACCGTTTAAGAACAGTTACAGGTCATGACCGATGTACAGTAAGTAACCGAAAAATAATCCCTGCATTTGTTTGCAATTGTAAATAATGTTATTGTAAAATAAATGTAGCCAGTAATAACGGTAAAGCTAACAGCACACATTGTAGCTAACCTAGTTAGCGCAGTTAGCTAAATTAGCTTCTATTAGTTTCCGTATTTCATTTTAACATTACATGACCAGCAAGCAAGTTAACTAAGCCATCCATTACGTTGAAAATAAACCAACAGGTACGTGTACCATAATTTAAACTACTAGTATATAGCATCATAACTTTAGTGTTTGCTAGCTAACTGTTATGCAAATCCAGCCGTTTAAAAACGAGCCTGTGCGTTTTAACAACAGGTGTTGTTACTTTAGCTTATTAGCACAACAACCAGTTGTGAATTAATTAAACAATCTTTAGTTCCTAGTATCAAAACAGTAGCACTGTGTTTAATGCTGCTGTTGGGAAGTCCTTTGCAGTGTATTTATTTTTCCTAGGCCAAAATAGCTGGGTTGTTATTTGTGTCTGTGTGTGGTTGTTGCCATGTGTACATGTCATGAAGTTGTTTATCAGTGTTTATATACAGTCTATGGTGTGTACCTGGTAAACCCTGTGACAGATTATGGACAGGTGTATAAAGACCTGTGTGTGTGTTTGTGGGAACTGGCTGTATAGGACAGGCCTATCTATCATCTAACCAAGGTCATACTGCACTGACAGTAGGAAATGAATCATCATTGGCTGAAGTTTGAACCTTTCTTGGCAAAGGCGGATGATAGACGCTTCTGACAATGCCTGTCTTATCCATCCTGTTGGATGTACACTGTGTGTGTAGTGTGTCACAAATGAATACGTTAACAGTCAAATTCAGTATCTCAGCCTCACACTACATATTTCACTTTTAAATCACGCAGTTCTCATTGTATTTTGAAACATTTGCATATTAGTTTTAAATTATGGGATTGACTGCATGTGTCTTTTATTCAGCAGTGTACTGTACTGTAGACACACAGTGTTTCCCCTACCATTGTCGGTAGGGTGCCAACGGAGCCCCGCCCCCCCTGAAATTCAAGGTGTTTTTTTATTTGTATTTGTTTTAATAAAGCATATTTATAGCACCAAATTGCAACTAATCTATCTACTGTCACTTTTGACAATGAACATGTGCCCTTTTATTAAATAAACTAAACACTTTCATTTTAAGTTATGAGTTTAGTGTTTTTGACCCTAAGAAACATGATGCATTAATCAATAACAATAATCCACAGCTCCTCTCTCTGCTCGAGAGGATTTAAAAAAATAAAATATCCCAACAACACACCCCAAAGCAGTAAACCTAGGGGAAACACTGGACACATGTATTTAAATTATATATAATTAAGGCTAAGGCTATTGTTCTGCTTTTTATGGGCAAACCTGAACTGACATTGAAAATAGCCTTTCACTGAGTGTTACACAGAGTAGTGTGATATAAAAGGATTTTCACCCAGAATTTTTTCCCACGCATCAAAAATGTGTTGTGATTCCACTTGTGGCAGGACACTGCTCACCACAGTTGACAGTAAACAAGGTCCTCTGGTGACGAGGACAGCTCAAGAGCCAGCTCTCACTAAAGAAAAAGATAAATTGGGAGGAAACTGCTGTAGATGACGATGCTGGCTAACCAAAGTCTGTCAAACATGTAAAATAAAATGAATCCTATCCCTCGCATCCCACTAGCATTTTTAATCCAAAACATCCTTTTTAATAATCATAGTAATATAGCCTGTCATTCTTACCCACTACTTTATCAAACAGCTTCAGCAAATGAGTCTGCAAGAAAAACACAGATTTATCAGCATCTCGGCAGATCGTGATAACATTTTGCTCTATTTCCGAGCAAAGCTGATAACGCAGCTTAACAGGAGGATAGGAGGCCAGCTGGTCTCTTGTTTGGGTGTGTGTTATCCCCATTGCATGTTATGCATGATGGTTGTATTGCAGCTGTGTGTGTTATCAGAGCAGTGCTTTCCCTGCTTGGATTGAATGTTATCACCGTGTTAGTGATGGAAGTTAGCGATTAGCTCCTGAAGACTGGAAAGATTGAGTTTGAGGTGCTCTCAAAATACCATCATGCATTACTTTAATTTTTGTGTGCTCATTTTGTTTTCCCACTGGAAATATGCTGTGTATGAATGTGTGCTGGCCATGATGGCACGCTGGTGTGTGTGTGTGTGTGTGTGTGTGTGTGTGTGTGTGTGTGTGTGTGTGTGTGTGTGTGTGTGTGTGTGTGTGTGTTGCGTCTGCTCCTGCACTTTTGCTGTCTGTCCTCGAGGCTCAGATGTGTATCAGTATAGGGGTACAAGTTCTATTCAGGCAACTGTTTGTCTGCACCATTCCCGTCATGCCATCATTAAACAGAAAGTATATTTTCCTTAAAGTAGTAGCCAAGGGTTTAGATAGTGTCTCGTCGTTTTCCAATAGCGTTTCACTTGTTGCAGGATATTCTTCCCTATAATTAAGTGTAAATAAATCATGAACAAGGCAGATCACTCCACTACTGCCAGACAAATCCCTTATTTGACCCACATGAGATGTACTCTAAGTCAAATGATTTTGTAGAAACGAGACAAAATACCCGGTTGCTTTCATAAAGATATGTTTTCTTCTTTCGTTGTCAGGTCCAGAGGGAAGAAGCACAGTGTTGTTCTACGGACCCAGCTGACTGTCCGTGTCCATGCCTGCATTGGTGAGTGTGTTTGACATGTTTATGTATGTGTTTAACATCGGTCCCCCCCAGTGGACACACACACACACCCCGCCACACACATCAGCAGGTCTAAGAACATACTGTACTGCACGCTTGGATGGCTGTCCAGGGGTTTACACGTGGTGCATTCTGGGTCAGACCCGGGACCTCCCACTCAGAGGCAGGTTTGACTGGTGTTTGAAAATTCTCCAAAATTCGACATGGTATTGTGATCACGTCAGTAATTGCATTACACATGTGTGATGGGAGCTTTTATAGAGAGAACAAAATATTAATAATAAAACAAATTTGATTGTGTAACTTTAGGATTGTTTTCTTGCCTACTGGCTTATTACAGTACTTCTATATAAATAAGAACATAATGTACTGAGAGCTCATGGATGATTTTGATGTCTGTTGTTCTCATTACATTCATCTAAGTTCACCAACATCCCGTCATTTAAGAAGCGATGTATTCCTTTTTCTTTCTGCAGCCCCCTCCTCTGAATCAGCCCACACTTTGTCAGTGCTCAACCGTTTCCTCCATGACTTGTCTGCATGGTCCACATTCTCCATGCCAGTGATAGCAGCGCTAATTCTGTCGACTAGAATCAGTACCACGGATTGGTGGAGAATGTCATAAGGTTAAAGGTCACTAGGGCTGTGACTAATAATGTTATGTAAAGAAACACGTGTACAGGAATTGTTTTCATCATTTTTTCAATTTTAAATGTTGACATAACAGTTCAGTTGTTACATAAAAAATAAAAATAGATGGTTCTGCATTATCAACAGTCCCTTTTTAGGAGATATTATTGCAACATACTGTAAATAGCAGTTTGCATTAACCCAATTCTCGGGACATGAACCCCTGAACCTGCCCCATATTTGCCTGTTTTAGTTGATTGCTTTGGACATATGGCCCCTGTTGTTTCTAGAATGAGTGATCTCTTGAGTCTCACAGACGGGCTCTACCCTTTCTGAGAGGAGAAAACCTGACCCAAACTGCAGCCACATGCTTATTCAAATATATTTACATATGTGTGCCCTACACAAAATGGCAGAGTGAATTAAGCAGGAAGAGGTTGTGTAATACAAGTCTTTCTCTCACACTCGTGCCCATATAATACACACACCCACGCTCAAACACACACAAACAAGCTCTTATGAGGGATCTTCCCATGGCTCATCTTGGTTTTACGAAAAAAAAAAAAAAACCGAGCCGGGCTATATTTGCTTGCCTTGGCATAATTTGAGCACAACTTTTAATGGAGAAATAGCTGCATCATCATCCCCATGAGACATGCCTTTTCTTTTGATGGGTACGAGTAAAACCTTTGCCCTGTGCCAAGGCTTGATGAAAGAGTTTGCCCGATATATCGCCCGCAATCCAGATTTCCTCGTGCATGGCACAGATGCTGAGAAGCAAACCAGATCCTGACTGGAGTTGATACTCTGGAGTGTAATTCTGCTGCATTAGAGAGACGTATAATCAGACAGTGTGAGCGAGTCCCTTCTTAGTGTTGCTTCATCGAGTCAGTTCTGCTATCCACTCATCTGGCCGTTTAGCGCTCTCTAATCCTTCAGGGCGTTGACCTTCAGCCTGAGTGGTGGTCAGCATACTATCCACTAAATGAAAAGTCTGTCACTATGAAGGATACCAATTGCTTTTAGAATCAAGTCTCTTTTACTCACAAAAAGTTGGTCAGTAAAGACTGGATTGCTGATTGTGCTACATATGATCATGTTTTTGTTGACTTGATTGAAATCCAGGAATGAATCGTTTCCTTACAGATCTTCCTAATCTTGTCGTGTTCATCAGTCTCCAGGTTTGATTGACAAGGATCAGGATCTGATTGTCAAATGAAGGTCAAATGTCAAGCAGATCTTAGGGCTTGTGTCTTCAGTTGTTTATTGATCTCCTTTCAGGGCCACGAGGTTGAACAAAAAGAGTGAGAAACACCGCTCTCCTTGGCATGTCTTGGCTTCACTGCTAACAGAAAGATCATTCAGGCTGGCCAGCTTGGGATTACTGATGCTCTGTGATGCGTGTATGTGTGATTGAGGGTGTGATAATGTGTGTGACTTAATTAGTTTTTATGTTGGACATGAAAAAGGGAACACATGCGCATGGTCAGCATTGCTCAACAGTATCTGTCCTGGAGAGGCGTTCATGGCACTTTAATGATCCAGCTCTTCTTAGTACTCACTGCATTTAGACCTACTAGGAGAATGGGGTCAATTCAAAAGGATAATATCTCCTTGTATGCAGTCCTCAGTGTCCTCATGTCTGATTCCTCGCCTTTTCTCAGTTGTTCCCGTGGTCTGCAATCTTCTTAGAGTGGCATTCAGAAGCCCTTGTTTAAGGGTTAATTTTAGCAGTCTCCATTTGCAGCAGAGTTGTTTCGAGGGGGGGTGGTTCAGGCGGTGAATTGCAGGTGTTATCTTTAGAAAGTGTTGACAGCACAGAAACATGCGAGGAAGACAACATGGTGCCGAACCTTTTCTCATTAAATGTGAGAGTTACAGGAAGTGAGAAGGGTAACAAAGGTGTTGATTGAGGTAGATGGAGGATAGTTGGAAGGAGTAATGCACCACGTGTTGTGAACTCGTATCAAGTTCTTCTTCAGAAAACATGACATGTACTAAGCAATGACTTTATGTAGCAAGACCCAACAGCCTACTGTCCCGTCGGCACCATCAGTTGCACCTGGAGGCGTCGGTGCTCATCACATCCCACGAGCGTCAAAACAATGATCTATTAGGGGTGTGAATTGTTCCGGTGTTTGTTATATCTGTCTTCCTTAGAGCAAGCATGACTTTGATCTAGTGGGTTCACTAACAATGTTATTAAACTGTTGCCTTTTCAATCCACTTAGTAACAATAGCATTTCTTTTGAGGTGTGTTTTCTGAACATTCTGGTGAATTTAGTTTTATTATTAAATGTCTTTACGCTCTTTTTTGTTCTCCACCACCTCCACTATGTTGACCACAGCGTTGCTTACTTTATTTGTCAAAAAGTTGCCATGAAGCTTAAGTTACATAATGTTATGTAATATTCACTTTTGCTTTAGTGCTTCTACTTTTTTCCTGATCCTTAGCTTTCACCAAAGTTAGCAAAACATAAAACAACAATGATGAAACTCTATATAAAGCTGCACTGGCTGAGTACAAACTGTACTTTTCTCCAAGCTTTTCTTTCCCATGTGGCCCCATTTCCCAGCCTCCCATGAATTGAAAGAATATGCAGTAATTAAATACAGTTTAAGTGATTAAATAAAGAGAGGGTATGCTATCTGACAGGTAAAGCTCCCTGCAATGATTTGTACAGCAGGTGAAACAAAAGAGTTGGAGTGCAGAACAAAAGACCTGGCATGTGTTTTGGCGCCTGTTCAATCCCTTGGCACTTGCTTCTGGAATTTAGCCCTTATTCCAGAAATGTGGCTCCTTTACCGCTGGATTTCTGTGCCCCAATTATCCGTCTCTAATCACCCCCCGCAGTATTGTAAAGGAGAGGCAGGGGTCGGAGGTGGAGTGAAAATTGAGTTGCTTTGATTTTCTCTCGTTGAGCTGTTGCACAAATTAGCAACTTGTCGAAAGATTGTGTTTCATCTGTGGCTATTTCCCACCTTTAGTTACTTACTCTTGCTTTGATTTGATTTTTCAAAAAGAAACAGTGTAATAATAGGCCTCTAGTACAAAAACAAAGGTTTATATTCACTGTATTTATACATTGTAAGGATATATTTTAAGGATTTGATAGCTCTAGTGAGTTACACAAATGAAAACCTCTATAAATATCAGCTTACTTGCATGGTGGTCTCTCGTAAAATAAGCAGTAGTCTCTTTTCAGTGTTGCTTCCCCGGTGGGGGTGCGGTGTTAGTGACAGCAGTCTGGGCTAGGGATGCTGCAGAAAGAGAGGACTACAGCTGGTTCCAGCAGTGATTTCCTGTGTGCGTTTCCCCCGCTGTGGGAGATAAGGCCTGGTGATGGCGTGGTGTGGCAGGGAGATAATGCTTGGTGACGGGTAAGCTGTGAGGGGACAGCGGTATTGGACATCTGAGGCAAACTCTACTCACATCATATGGTTTTCTTGACACGCTACTCTCCGATATCTGTGCCAATATGTTCTAACCTTTCATCTAGCATCACTTTACTTACTAGTTTCACTCAGAGCTGCACAATTTAGAAATGTTTCTTTTGACTGATATTGCAATAGAGACAGGATCACAATATTGGAGGGGTTGATCATTTTTTAATCATCATTTCCATTATAATTGAAGATATATTAAAGGTGGGGTAGAGCTTCGTGACCACAGAGCATGTGAACGTTGTGATCAGCTGTTTTAGCGCAGTGCTGCTGTACAGGCCGACGTTAACAGCAGCCCCGTCTGTGCACACGGAAACCGACTCTGTCGTCCGGTGATCTAACCGCCTTCTGGAAAAGCTTCACAAGTACGTCGGTACGCAAATGCGCTTTGTGACACAAGTGACGGTACACATTTCAGATTGTTGCCGCGTACCTGCGTACCACTTATGTGCACCCCTGCATATATACTTATAGGGACATATATATACATATTACATATTAGATATTAGATATATTAACATGGGTGTGCGGAAACAGTGTTTAGCCTTTAACAAATACTGTGGTTTCTGCGATTTGAATACCAGTCCATGTTGTGATTTTGATAACATGTAGAATCATTGCAGCCCTAATACTCTCCACTTCTGTTCTTTAACCCCTGCAACCTTTTTATTTTCCTGGCATGCCCCTGCTTTCTAAATCTATATTTACTCTATTTAGCTTCACAGACTGTTTTTGCCTCTTTGGCTCATAGAGTTGTACCTTTTAATCTCTCAGTGTGCACGTTGTGTGGCTCAACAAGGATATTTTGCCAAGCTTATTAATTGTTGACCAGTTAAACCTTTTCACCATCTCATCATTACCTGAAATCAGCAGTCATGCATTCAGAATACAGGACACGCTGCTCTGTT